GCTGCTGGAGCACGACCTTTCTTTCCTTGACCGTGCTGCTGCTGCTGCTGCTGCTGCTGCTGCTGCACTGTTGCTGCAGGTTGCTCACAGCCAACGGCTGCTGCTGCTGCGGCTAACGCCTTTAGATCTTCGGATGCTGCTGCAAATCCCAGCAGCAGGAAGCATCATTCCTCTCTCCTTTAGGTTCGGCGCCCCTTAGGCCTGCTGCTGCTGCTGCTGCTGCTGCTGCTGCTGCTGCTGCTGCTGCTGCTGAAGCAGCAGCTAACTGGTCCCCGCTTAATTAGAGCCGCAGCCTCGAACCGCAACAGATTCAGCAGCAGCAGCGTCTACAGCAGCTGCTGCTGTTGCTGCGGTAGATTTATTTTTGACTCTGCTGCTGCTGCTGCTGCTGCAGGAATCGTTTGCTGCAGTTTTTAGAGCTGCTGCACTTCGACCTACAGGCAGAGCCCCCGCGGCTGCCTCCTGCTGCTGTTCGTCTTGCTGCTGCACCTCCTTCTACGCCGCTGCAGCAAATGGCGTTCTCGCAGCAGCAGCAGCAGCAGCAACAGCAGCAACAGCACTACTTCCAGCACCACATGCAGCAGCAGCAGTCTGCTGCTGCTGCTGCGAGCAGGCAGCACCTGGCGCATGCAGCCAACGCAGCAGCGTCCAGCGCTCCTGCTGCAGCTCCCCTAGTGCCGACAGCAGCAGCAGCAAATCTTGCTGCTGCTGCTGCTGCTCAAGCAGCTGGCGAGGGCGCCTCTCGGGTCCACGAGTCTGCAGCAACTGCTGCTGCTGCTGCTCCTTCTGGGGGCGGCGCGGCGGGCGTGACGCCGGCGAGCTCCGCAGCAGCAGCACCAGCAGCAGCAGCAGCAGCAGCAGCACCTGCTGCTGCTTCCCAGGCCACTCCTGGGGCCGGCTCGGGGGGCTCTCAGCCTGCTGAGCCAAAGAAAAGGGGGGGCGGAGTTGCAACAAAGAACAGAAACCGGAAGAAAGCTGCTGCTGCTGCTGCTGTTGCTGCAATTGTGCTCGAAGCAGAAGACAAGAAGCGTGCTGCGCTGCTGCAGCAGCAGCAAGAGCTCTTTATGCAGCAGCACGGGCTCAACCCTGCCTTCCACGAGCAGTTTTTTGGGCCGCACGTCAGTGCCCAGACGCAGGAGCAGCTGCTGCAGCAGCAGCAGCAGCAGCAGGAGCAGCTGCATCAGCTACAGCAGCACTTGCTGCGAGGCTGCAGCGCCAGCGCCCATGCGCTGCAGCAGCACCAGCTGCAGCAGCAGCGAACCGCGGAGGAGGTGCAGCGCCACCGCGCGGCTGCGGCTGCTGCTGCTGCTGCTGCTGCTGCCTCAGTGTCTGCTGCTGCTGCTGGTGCGGGCCTGCCGGGAGCGGGGCACCCGCTGCAGCAGCAGCACGCAGCAGCAGTAACTGCCGCAGCAGCAACAGCAGCAGCAGCCCGCGACAAACGGCAGCAGCAAGCCTCCCTGCCGCGCTTCGCAGACTCAATAGCAGCAGCAGGAGGGACATCAGAGCTTCTTATTCCAGAAGTAGACGAGGAGGACTTCCTTTGAGCAGCAGCAGCAGCATCAGCAGGGTCTGCTGCTGCTGCTGCAACACGATTTGCTGCTGCGGCGGCAGCAGCACAGTCTGCTGGTCTGCTGCCGCAGGAGCAGCAGGCGCTGCGACAGCAGCAGCAGCAGCGGCCGAGACGGCAGCAGCTTTAGAACCAGCTCACGCAGCTGCTGCTGCGCTGCAGCGAATTGCAGCAGCAGCAGCAGCAACAGCAGCAGCAGCAGCAGCGCAGCAAGAGAAGAAGCAACCGAACCCCGCTGCTAGGCCAGCTGCAGCCGCTGCTGCAGCTGCCGCTGCAGCAGCAGCAGCAGCAGCAGCAGCTTACCAGGTTGCACTTGTTCATTTTGCTTTTCAGGATTTAACAAAGAGGAAATTCCTTTTTGTGTCTGTCGCATTTTTATTTATTTTCTTTTGCTGCAGCAACTGTCTTCGCTCTTTTTCTCTTTCCGTTTTTAATCCTTTTTTATTTCTTTAATCTTTTTTCTCTTTTTTTGATTTCTTTTTATCTTCTTTTCTTTTTGTTTCCTTTGTCTCTTTCTGCGTTTTTTTGTTTCTTTTTCTCCTTTTTAATGACTTTTAATTCATTTCTTTTATTTCTTTTATTTCTTTCTTAACTTTTTACTTTTTATTTTTCATCTTTTCTGTTTTTTTCTGTTAATGACTTTTATTGCATTTATATTTAAAACAATCCTTTAGCCTCTTTTGTTGTTCTTGAAGCTCACTGAAGGAGAGAAAAGGACAAAAAGAGATAAAACAGAAGTCAAAAAGGGGCAAAAAAGCAGCAAATAAAAGACAAAAAAGACAGAAATAAAAGAAAGAAGAATAATATAATATTCAAATAATTAAAAGGAAAAGAAAAAGACAAAAAAGACAAAAAAGAAAAACACTTCTGAGCCAATTTGCTGCTTCGCGCTGGGGCCTCTTCGCCCACGAGCTGTCTGTACACCCCAACTCT